TTCAACAGTTGAATATACCAATTGGGCAAACGGAACTGCAAAAGTCAATGGTAAATGCAGTGTTATCCTATCCACAGATGGAATATGGTCTGAAGTTGACTGCAGTCATAGTAAAGGCAGAGTTGTTTGTAAAGCTCCTCTAGGTATGTCTGTCTTGTGATTAATATACAATTTACTTGTTGAATAGAAGGATTTTTGTGTGTGTACAAATCACTGAGATTAAATTCACTCCAGCAGACCTGTGGTGTAAGTGGAACTAAAATGGTACATAGGCCTTCTATGTACTTTCTGCCTGGTGTGATGTGTCCAGTATAGTTGTAAAAGATAGCATCAGCTCTAACTTTTTTCTTTTTATAGTTTTGAAAAATCTGAACTAATTTATATTAGTGTGTTGGTTTAGTCAGGTTTGTTTTAAAAACCAGTCTCTGATATGAGGTTAATTTAGCCTGTTTATTTTTACATTGCTTTTGTTTTTTTGTGAACAGTGCAGCTAATTTCTGCTTTACTCTTTGTATGTTATGATTGTCACATTGCTGTGCTTGGGATATGCCATGCTGAGGGGCACACTAGGAGTGCATAAATAAATGGTTAAAGAGGCCTTCATCATAAGAACATAAGAATGGCCATACTGAGTCAGACCAGTGGTTCATCTAGCCCAGTATCTCCTCTTTCGACAGTTGCCAATGCCACTATGATGACCTCTAAATCACAGAAGTCCCCTTTGGATTGCCTCTTGGTGTGCTGATCTTACCACTGACGCCTGCCTTTCCACCTTTCCTTTCCACCACCCTATCCTGCTGAGCACGATTCTCTCATCTCCCGCAGACAAGGCACAGAGTTGAGGTTACTGCCCCCCATAGAGAAACGCAGACACTGACCCTGTTCTGCTCTGGGAGAGAGGGACTCAGCTCTAAGGGCGAGAACCCAGGAAACCAACCTCCAAAGAGGACGAAACCCCCAAATAAATCCATCTTACTGTATATAAAAGTTGTACACAGAGAAAGCTTAGGTCCACCCGCTTTATCAATGAGTGAGGGAAATGCAGTGTGCCCCTCCCCCCAGGTAACAATTATTTACACTGGCTTGATAATAAAAATGTTTCTATTAAGTATAAAATGTAGGATTTAAGTGGTTGCAAGTGAAAACAGTCAAAGTAAGTTACTAAATTAAAATGAAGAACAAAAGTTTAGCTAGTGCTAAGAAACTTTTTCCATGCGCATTTTTTCCCTAAACAGCTGTTCTGATCACAGGGAAAAGCTTCAAATCAGAGCATTGAAGGAGTGGGTGTACCGCAGATTTATAGAGAGTCTAGGAATGTGAACAGTAAACTGGTGGCAACAAAAGCAGTTCTCCTCCCGCTCAGTCAGTTAACTGGTTAAACACTACTGGTTAATCAATTAAATGGGATTTTTGCATCCCTAATAGTGGCATTGTAATAGTTAATGTTTAATCATCTATCCCATTCCTAACATTGTTTGCTTTTTTTGACTGCTGCTGCACGTTGAGTGGATGTTTTCAGAGAACTAGCCACAATGACTGCAGAGTCTCTATTGAATGATAACAGCCAATTTTAGATCCATCATATTCATTCTCTCTCTCTCTCTCTCTTATAATTAAAAATGTTTCCTGTGGGATGACAGTGATGTCATTACATCACTCTGTGTCCACAGGAGCCAAGCCCCATCCACTCACAACCTGGCCCTCCCCAGAGCCCACATGGAGAGCTGCAGATGCCTGTGGCTCCAGACCTCCCCTTCTCAGCTGCATTCTCAGCCCAGCCCTGGTGGCAGAGGTGGGTAGAGAAATGGGATGGCCACAGCCTGGCCCCTCTCAGAGGCTGGAGGGGAGATCTGGGCCTGTCACTGCTTAGGCAGCTGGGGGAAAGGGGAAGAGCCAGAGGGGAAGGGTCAGGTCAGCCTCAGCTTCTGAGAGAGGGGGAAGAGCCGAGGCTGGGGCAGCCTCAGACCCTTCCCAGTGGCTGGGGTAAGGGAAGAGCTGGGCCCTCCTTGGTGGCTGAGGTGGAAGGAAGTCTAGGGAGGCCTCAGCCCTGGGTCCTTCCTGGCTAAGAGTCCCTCCTCCCCCCACCCTCCGAGAGGCCGAAGGGGAAGAGTGTCATGGTCACAAGGGCTAGCCAGCAGCCTGGGGACTAAGGGGTTAACTATACCTAACTTAGGTAGAGTTAGCCAATAGGAATGTAGGTAGGAATCTCAAACTAGGACAAAGTAATTTTTGGGTTTCCCTCCTTTGGTCCTGAGAGTTCCCTCCAGGTATTGAAGGAGACAGACATGTCTCGCTCTCCAAGAAACAATACTTCACTTTCCGTAAGTAGGGTAAAGTTTAGATAAATCCTATAGGTTTTATTATTTTATGGTTTGAGAATTGGGATCTGATGTTTTGGCTTTTCTTTTGTAACTAAGTTCTAGACTCATGGAGTTTCTCCACGAGTATATTATTTTGTTACTTTTCCATCTAGTGTCTCCACTTGAAAATTTGCTACTTCTGATTTTCAAAAAAAATCTACATGTAAGAAGACCCAAAGTATGCTCCATTATATTGAGTACAATTCCACGTTGATTGAAATTAGGGTTGTCAAGTGATTAGAACATTTAATCGCGTGCACCTCCCCTTTGAAACCCCGCAGCGGCGTTTAATGGGGCAGCACTGGATGGATCCTGGGGTCAGCTAGAGTCCCCAGCTAACCCCCGGCTCCATGCAGCGCTGCCCCTTGGAAGTGCTGTGGGGGTGTTTCCAAGGGGCAGCGCATTAGGAGCTTTGAATCACCTGGGGACTCCAGCTGATCCTGGGCTCCATGCAGCACTGCCCCGTTGAAAGGCCGCTGCAAGGTTTCAAAGGGGCAGCGCTGCATGGAGCCCAGGGTCAGCTGTCGGGCTTCAAAGGGGAGGCTTGCGCTGCCCCTTTGAAGTGCCATTTTGGCATTTCAGAAAACCAGTAAATACAGAGTTAAGGTACAGCCTCCATCTAACCCTAATTCTGTCCTCCTTGAATAATGTCCCCAAACCACTTACACCACACATGTTCACACTCTTTTTACTATAAAGAAAAGGAGCTAAGTGCACCTACTGTACGCTCAAATATTTAACATACCCTTCTAATAGATTACCACACTTGTGAAATACAAAAGCCACTTCCCAAGCAGTGCTTTTTTTGTGACAGTACTGCTGGGTACTCAGTACCGGCACCTCCAGACGCAGCATCAGCACTTCCAATCAGAGCTCAACAACTTTTCCCCTGGAGTACTGGCACGTGTGTGTGGGGTGGTGGTTTTTTTTTTTTTTTTTTTTTACATAACAAAACAAAGCACTGTTCCCAAGTATGTGCAAAAAAGCATGGTCAGAATAGGTCACCATAATTTAAGAAAAGCTGTTTTTTTGTGTGTGTGGTTTTTTGTGGCACTGTTTTCAGGACCATTTGGCAAATGGACCCAAGTTTGGATCACTAACCCTATTTCTGAATCCCCACGAGGCAAATCAAATTTCAAGGCAATCCAAGTAACCATGCAATTTGTAGCATTATTAGAACTGTCCAACTTTAAGTAGAGAAGTCCTCTTAACCATAATGATAGAGAAGCTTCTGCTCAGCTATAATATTTTGCACTTATAGGAAACTAGCTTTTGAATTTATGATGTGGAGAATATTTGTGTGTGAGAGAGACTTAAAATAAGAATTCCTTAACTTCAATAAAATGAACATATAGTAAATGTATACATATTAGTATGAAACTTTGCTGTATAACGAATACTTTTCAGTTAAAACACATTAACTATTTATCTTTTACAGGCACTAACCATACTGGAGTGGCTGTAGCATTTGCTCTATTAATTATCCTAGTCCTGGTTGCTGGATTAATTTGGTATCTCTACAAAAAGAAACGGCTACAGTGGGGTGCCTTCTCTGCAGTACATTATGAACGAGGGATTAATGAAGATGAGACTGATAGCATGTTTACCAAAGACAGTTACTAAGAAACTGTTCTTGCTTGTTGTTTTATTTCAAAATCCACTGTGTGAAACTATAGGGAATGGGCTACTTGACACTTTATTAGTTCCTTCTGAAAAACGAGTAAGAAGTTTATTAACTAGTGGCTAAATTCTACCCTCTAATATGTGCAATTTTAAGTCAGTGGGAGCTTGACTGAATTTGACTTAGCTGTAAATGCTGCACAAGATAGAAGTTCCCTAAGGCTCAAGAGCTCTGTAATTTCATATTAGCTGTATGTACGGTCTCTAAAATCTTTACATACATTACTTTTTCTTTCTCACTTTCTGGTTAGGCGATATTTGGGGAGGTAGGAATAGACTTTTAAATGGCAAACGAAGCAAACTTGTGTCCAAGCTATCTAGCTTTTTATAGGCAACTATTATTTAAACAGTGGGTGTCAAAAGGCATGCATTTTGAGGTACATTACATGTCCTGTTTCAAGCATTGGGTCTCCTTGCAACAACTAGCAGAAAATACATTGATAAACACTAGATAAATGATATTTGGAATAACAGTTTTTGTAATTATCAACGGTGATAAAATACAGAGGCCTTGTACTATGTCTTTTCCCACTGAACTACAATCATAACATTTGGTACTCTCGTTATGGTCAACTGAGTGGAAGAGAGAGAAAAATCTTGTATCTGACATTGATTGTTTTTCTCAGAGGTCACCAAAAAGCCTTCTTCATTCTTTCCTCTCATACTGAACTGTTGTTCAGATGTCCTTCATTACCTGAATCATGACTTGGAATCACATAGTGAAAGAGCATATGATATCTATAAAGAGCGATCCTTATAAAAAGAACCAAGCAACACTTAAACTGAGCCTATTGTAGGCTCATACATGAATAGCCATGTCCTCAGAAGATGCTACTCGTATCAGTACAAATGGGATTAAGGG